CATTTCCAATTCTGTAGATCTAGAAGACATGTATAGTGATCAATATCACTATGAGCTCCCCCATACAGCTAGAATCCTCTGGTGTTTATTATTAGGAACAAATGATGATGYTTATCTCCTCTGTTAAGCAACAACTGTGGAGACCAGCAAGTTACAGGTCAAACTGTGAGTTCAAGATTAAAACAATTATATGGTTTTAAAATGCCCAATAATTTGATACTGATACTGATACCAMTCAAAATAGKACCAGTACTACTGGYAAGACAATGCTTTGTTCCAAAGTCCCTGAATGACATACATTCTTGCCATWGTAGTATTTGTGAGAACAGTAGTGGCACTTCTATTGGAAATCAACAAAAGGAAAGACCACAGGTAAAGGAYTCAAAAGAACCATTTYCCCCCAAAGAACTAACTGAGCAGACAATAATTGTGAATGAAACCAAACTGGGTATCAGAAGGCAGGATAGATAATTTAACAACAAACTTATTAAATCCATTCAAAGCAYTYAACCKGAGGGTTCCATGAGGGCCTTTGTAGAAATGATTTATGACACACTTAGAAGAAMTAGTAAAATGTAATTAACGATCCAATGCATCGTTGGTAAATATCGATGGATAGGAGTAAGAGTAAGGCCACATTGTCTCCTCGCATTCGACATGATACAAATGGAAGATAAACGTCACCATTGACAGTACGACAAGGCTTCGTCGCAAAACCTGAAAGAATGTCGTGTTCCTTTTAAGTTTTTCAAGTCTGACTTGATGCGGATGGCCAGTCTTTTTCGCTCACACACCACCTAATTCAGCGACTTCGCCTTTATTCTCCGGTACAAAACGTCTGTGCACATCAATTGCCTTTTTTTAATGTCAGTCAGATATTAAAATGTCCAGTTATTTCGGAGGTTCTCGGTTGTGGGTTGATCGCGTTTTTTGTCTTCTTTCGGATTCCCTATTTCTGAAATCACTTTCAAATTCGATGACTTTCGCCCCAGCAGTAGAAATATCTCTCAAACTAGACGTTGGAGATGTTGTTGGGGAAGTTGTTGGGGAAAAGGTGGTGGGCTGATAGGTCGTCGGTGCGGTCGTAGGTAAGAATGTGGTAGGCTCAGAAGTGGGAGCAAGAGTTGTTGGWGATGATGAAGGCGTTGTCGAAGGCGTTGATGAGGGGGACGGTGACGGTGGTGAGGATGGACTTTGCGAAACCGACGGCATGAAAGATGGAAAAGTACTTGGTGTGCTGGTCGGAGAACTAGTTCTAAATTCCTTGCATCTTCTCAGACARGTGAGAGGACAGCTYGCTTTTACTGCCCGGTTTGTAATAGTGTCAATCTGTTTGCACTGATTGATTTTCTTGTTCGGAAAATAAGTAGCGATAAGGCTACAAGTAACTCCTTCTTCACCATCAACCAAATATGTAGGGTCATCAACGCAACCTGCATCTATGAATTGCGAAGGAGTTTTAMGAAATGATGGACCGTCGGAAGGTAAACTGGATGGCACATTTGTAGGTGCAAAAGATGGTTGCAGAGATGGTCCATCAGAGGGTTGAAGAGATGGCCCATCCGATGGCAAAGAGCTTAGTCCAGGGGTCAGATGAGGTGTCGGAGTCGAACCTACGATCTTGACGAATCCTGTTTGCTCGCTTTGAGGGGTCGGAGACTCGGTCGCAACAGTTACAGGAGTTGTCGGAGTCGAACCTACGATCTTAACGAATCCTGTTTGCTCGCTTTGAGGGGTGGGAGACTCGGTCGCAACAGTTACAGGAGTTGTCGGAGTCGAACCTACGATCTTAACGAATCCTGTTTGCTCGCTTTGAGAGGTTGGAGACTCGGTTGCAAGAGTTTCAGGAGCTGTCGGAGTCGAATCTAGGGCCTTRATGAATTCCGTTTGCGTGCTTTGAGAAGTTGGGGACTCAGTTGCAACAGTTTSAGGAGCTGTCGGAGTCGAACCTACAATCTTAATGAATCCTGTTTGCTCGCTTTGAGGGGCTGGAGACTCGGTTGSAAGAGTTTCAGGAGCCGTCGGAGTCGAATCTACGATCTTATTGAATACTACTGGCTCGCTCGGAGAACTCCGAGACAAAAGAACCGATGATGGTTCTAGTGACGGCCCATCCGACGGGAAAGACGATGGTTCTAGTGATGGCCCATCKGACGGGAAAGAAGATGGTTCCAGTGACGGCCCATCGGACGGAAAAGAACTTGGCATGTCTGTTGGCTTTGGAATGCGGAATCCTCGTTGTAGAGAAGGTCCATCAGAGGGTAGTAAAGATGGTCCATCCGATGGTACAGACGAAGGAGCAAAGGAAGGTTGTATTGATGGCCCATCCGACGGAAAATAACTCAGTATGCCTCTTCGGTCACTACTAGGAGCGAARACTGTCTCACTTRTGGGCATGGGCACTGGTGCCGATGTCYTCCTCCCTCTTTTGACTTTCCGTGGCTTTTTCGGTTTCCTTGGTTTCTTTYTCTTCCTTGGCCTCTTCGGCTTTCTGGGTTTCTTTGGCTTTTTGGGCATGGTTTCCAACATTGCTRAAGCAGCCTCCGTTTCTGCTGTCATTTCCATAGAAGCCAGCTTCGTTCCCAGTCCTGTCTTATCAACAGAATCGCGTTTCTTCATGTAGCCATCGGGATCAATCTTTCGAGCTCTGACATCGTCAATCTTCCCGATGACTCTTCTTCGCCTTTGCCTTCTGCTGCCCACTCGGAGTAGCTGTTCTTCTCTTTCAACGTGTTCTTGTTGTCCTCGCTCTGCTTTGGTAGACGTCGGAAGAACAACCAACGCAATGGCGGAGATCACCATCAATCGAAAATAAAGTACGCTTCTCATGATCACGTTTACTTTGTGGTMGGGGAMAGATGACTCTGTTTTTTGATATGCAGTGGTACTAWCTATATACTAAAGTGCAACRCTTTTCGTCTTGTTGCTAAAGAAAGTTTTCGAGTTTGTTTGAMCCASTGAATATCACGACAAGATGCGCAAGCATTCAGCGATTTGCATTCGGTGAAATTAACTTTTTKKTYMAWYSG